ACATTTTTTAAAATATAAACTGACATAAAATTTTCATTACTATCGGTTATAAACGACATAACAAAAATGGCGGAAAAATTCACCCCCAAAATTCCCTCCCAAATTTTTAAATTCCCTCCAAAATTTTGTTACGATTTTAAAAAATAAAATAATAATTGTTTGGTTTAATAAATTAAATAAATAATATGTATTTAAGTAGAATACGTTTTTTAAAATTAAGTAAATAATTTTTTTTTGGTCGAAAATAAATAATTGTTTGGTTTAATAGATAATAACCTATGTAAAATATGCAATAAAGGAACAAAAATATAATTATACAATGAAAATGTCATCACACAAACTAAATATTGTCTAATCAATACTTGAAAAACATAAATAAGAATGCAATGAACAAATTCGATATTCAATTTAAAATATTTACACTAGTGGATACCACAAAATCTTATTTTATACTTAATGGAAGTATAATATTAACTCTAAGTGTTTGTTTAATCTACCATTTTGACGTGATATGCCTTCTACGAAACTTTTTTCAATGATCCAATCGTCAAACTTATTTGCACACACTCCAAGATTGTATATGTCAAAAATCATAAAAAACAAACATTCAGAGATTACGTAATGGAACAAAAGTTTTCGACGGTTATAAATGAAAAATCACAATTTAACGGTTATTTTAGCTCTGGTTTTGATGATTTTTTTACAGCTACACTCATCGACCCTATAAGAATGCAATGAACAAATTTGATCTTCAATTTAAAATATTTACACTAGTTGATATCACAAAATCTTATTTTATACTTAATGAAAGTATAATATTAACTCTAAGTGTTTGTTTAATCTACCGTTTTGACGCGATATGCATTCTATGAAACTTTTTTCAACAATCCAACCGTCAAACTTATTTGTACACGCTCCGAGATTGCATACGTAAAAAATCGTAAAAAACAAACATTCAGAGATTAGGTAACATAACAAAAGTTTTCGACGGTTATAAACGAAAAATCACAATTTAACAGTTATTTTAGCTCTGATTTTGATGATTTTTTACAGCTACACTCCTCGACCCTATAAGAATGTATTGAACTAAATCGATCTTCAATTTAAAATATTTACACTAGTGGATACCACAAAATCTTATTTTATACTTAATGGAAGTATAATATTAACTCTTAAGTGTTTGTTTAATCTACCGTTTTGATGCGATATGCATTATACAAAACTTTTTTTAACGATCCAACCGTCAAACTTATTTGTACACACTCTGAGATTGCTTATGTAAAAAATCGTAAAAAACAAACATTCAAAGATTACGTAACGGAACAAAAGTTTTCGACGGTTATAAACGAAAAATCACAATTTAATAGTTTATTTTAGCTCCGATTTTAATGATTTTTTACAGCTACACTCCTCGACCCTATAAGAATGCAATGAATAAATTTGATCTTAAATTTAAAATATTTACACTAGTGGATACCACAAAATCTTATTTTATACTTAATGGAAATATAACATTAACCCTTAAGTGTTTATTTAATCTACCGTTTTGATGCGATATGCATTATACGAATTTTTTTTTAACAATCCAACCGTCAAACTTATTTGTACACACTCTGAGATTGCATATGTAAAAAATCGTAAAAAACAAACATTCAAAGATTACGTAACGGAACAAAAGTTTTCGACGGTTATAAATGAAAAATCACAATTTAACGGTTATTTTAGCTCTAATTTTGATGATTTTTTTATAGCTACACTCCTTGATCCTATAAGAATGCATTGAATGAATTCGATCTTCAATTTAATATATTTACACTAGTGGATAATTTTTTATACTTAATGGCAGTATAACATTAACTCTTAAGTGTTTGTTAAATCTATCAATTTGATATGATATGCATTATACGAAACTTCATAAACAAAAGTGTTCATTTGATCAGAGTAAAGTAAAGTACCTTGGCAACATTGTTTCTAGAGATGGTGTCGCTGTTGACGCTTCTAAATTGCAGGCCATTGTTGATTGGCTGACTCCAACTAATGTGAAAAGTCTACAAGGATTTTTTGGGCTGACAGGTTGTTACAGGAAGCTCATTCTTGGCTACGGCAAGATATGCCAACCCCTTTACCAGTTAACCAAGACGGACAGGTTTCTTTGTCTTCAAATGCTCAAGATGCCTTCAGTCACTTGAAACAGGTCACTTGAAACGTTTGGTTGCAGACTCTTCCTAATGTGGGACTATTTCAATTTTAGTTGCCTATAGAAAAACATAAGGTGGATCAAGAGAAAATTTTGGGTTTGGATTTCAAAAGTTGTAATTAGAGATGTACCTACCATTTATGCTCTTAAGGATGTTTTGGGACAGAGACATGACAGATGCATGATTCTTACATTGGGTAGTCTTAGTATACAAGGTCCAACAAAAATTAGACAAAAATAACATTGAAAAAATTAGACAAAAAAAATTGGAAGGATGATGAAGAACTGAGCAAATTAAGCAGAAAATTTAAGTCTCTGAGCTTGGAAACATAGGTTTTGGTGAAAAATGCACAATTTGATTAGACCCTGATGAAAAATTTGAAGTTCTTTTGGAAATTGAATTTGGCTTTTGTAAATGGATTGAGTTTTAATTAAGGTTTTTCGCTCATAAAACAAAGACTTTGGTGGAAAATGTTAAATTTGATTAGACCCAGATGGAAATTTAGAAGCGATCCAATCGTTAAATATGTTTGTATATACTCAGAGATAATATGTGTAAAAAATCGCAAAAAAAAAAAAAACATTCAGAGATTAGGTAACGGAACCATGAGTGAAAAAAAAAATATTTAAACCATTTGTTTATTTATTTATAATCAATATAAGACTTTAAAATAATAAAATAGTCAATTTCTGTCGATGATAACCGTCAGAATACTAAAATAATGACCGCCAGAAACTAAAATAATAAAATAGTCAATTTATGGCGGTTAAATCCGATAGGAAATATCCGCCAGGAATTTATGTCGGATATATCCGACAGAAATTAACTTTTATCCGACACTAAATAAATTATGTGTCGGATATCTTTTATCCGTCAGAATGGCTTAATAACCGCCACCATCGTCCGACACCTAAAGCTAATATTGTAGTAGTTATGAGATATGAATATGTCGTATAGGTCACTAGAGGTGACTTCGACTTATATGCTAGCCATGATTGATGAGATATGAATATGTCGTATATGTCCCTAGAGGTGACTCTGACTTATATGGTAGCCATGACTGATGAGATATGAATATGTCGTATCAGTCACGGGAGGTGATTCCGACTTATATGTTAACTATGATTGATGAGATATGTGATGAGATATGAATATGTCGTTTAGGTCACTAGATGTGACTCCGACTTATAAGCTAGCCATGATTGATGAGATATGTAATGAGATATGAATATGTTGTACAGGTCACTAGAGGTGACTCCGACTTAGATGCTAGCCTATATACGATGAAATGCTAGCATTTATAATGAATATACATGATGAGCTAGCATATGTGATGAATACGTGATAAGCTAGCAGACGTGATGAATATGCGATTAGTTAGCATATGATTATAAATATGCAAAGCATGACTTGAACTTATATATATATATATATATATATATATATATATAGACGTATATTTTTATATTCTAATTCTGGAAATCATACAGGCGTTGTAGCGAGGGGTTATAGAAATTTATATGGTTTCTATTAAAATTTTATCTACTGGGTCACTCATCTTTGTCTTGTCTTCACCCTCCAGGTCTTCTTAGCTGAGCTTTCTTATCGTCGAAGGTTCGTGGCGATCCTTAATACTGGAAATTATTTCGAGGGTATGATTCCCAATTCACTTTTTTGTACTTACTTATGCTCTAACATCACGTGTACAATGGGTTTATTCCTGTTCACCAGTGCACTCTGGTATTTAGGCACTCTTAGGTTTAAATTTATTTACAATTTTTCCACATCATCACACTTTCTGGCTTCGTCACCTTCCAGGTGTCGGCCAACACAGCTCAATTCAGAATCCTAATGGACATTCCGGGTTGGAATGTGTCACCTCTTATCCCCTTCACCTTTCTTCCCCGCTCACGTCTTCCCCCAACCCACCCCATCCCCAAACTCATCACCCTTAACCTTCTTCCCTACTTGTCTCCCCCGAATTCATCACCCTCATCATTCTTCCCAATTTTAGTCCCCAATTTTTAATTTACTCAAACAAATCAAATCCCAATTGAAATTTCGCAAACTGGATATGCTCTGTTGCTACCCCTTTGACACCTCTTCTATCGCCACAGAAAATCCCCATGCATTCATTTTTTTCTTTATCTCATGTTTAGAACACGTGGTGACAATTTGGGATTGGAGAAAGCTTTAGGCTTTGCTCAACTGGGTTTCTCAATATCGGCTTGGCGATTGAGGTCGAGCTCGGCGTGGGTGCGGTGGACGAGGTTGTGAAGCCTAGGGCTTGGAGCTTGCAGATGATGGTGGGGCCGATGAGGCTGCTGTTGAGTGTGAAAGGGAGAAAGGGTGAGAGAATACGGGAGGAAAGGGTAGAGAGGGGAGGGATGGTGACTGTTGTTGAGCGTGAAAGGGAGAAAGGGAGAGAGAATACGGGAGGAAAGGGGAGAGAGAGTGAGGGATGGTGGTTCTGGGTACGGTGTGAGAGAGAAGTGGGGGAGGAAAGAGACTTCGTAAGATGAAGTATGACATTGATATTTTTTAAAAATAAAGTATAAAACTGTAAATGACCCAATAATTAAGTTAATTTTATGTAATTTACCTCGTATTTTGATAATTTGAAGTATGGATAACTCAAAAATTTAGACAACATGTCCATAATCGAAAACTTGTTGATATGGTTGTTTGTATTATGTGATGGGACATGCTATACATGCTCATGCCGCGTCACAGAAGCTTAAGGACAGCCATGTAGGTGTAAGCAAGCTGGCATTTTCATCGTCATTGTCGAGATTTTAGGTTTCTACTTTTTCATGCAGCGTCACTCCATTAGTCCATTTTATGCTCGAGCTACTCCAACAGGATCTTCTCCGAATCTTTTTAATGAGATTTTAAGAATTTGTGAATTTTGTCTGTTTCTTGCATATAATATTGTTAGTTTTCGTCAAATATTATTTGTATTTAATTTTAAATAAAAATATTTAAAAAAATTCTGACAGTACGATGTAGAATAAATTGAAATAATTCACGAATCCTTAAATCCTCGTCAAGAAATCCGGCGATGATCCGGTCCCAAGTTACTTTCAATAGACTTCCATCTTTGCCGCTGTGCGACGTCGTTTTTAGCCAAGACCCGTTTAACACACCCAACCGCCGCCGAAACAGAACCGAAACTCGAGTGTCAATGGAGAAAGGCGGGTTAGACTTCGCCGGCCGAGAATTTAAGAACGCGGAGGAGATGTGGAGGGAGCAGCTCGGAGAAGACCACAGCAAGAAGACCGAGTGGTACCGCCAAGGCGTTGGCTACTGGGAAGTAAGTGCTTTTGTCAACCTTCCCTGTTTTTCATTTCGCTTTTTGTGCAGTCATTTCGTCGAGCAGGTGGTGGGCATTTGGAAAGTGTTTGATGTTTTTGGTGTGTTTGGTGTGTTTGGTTGTAAAGGGTGTGGAGGCGTCGACGAATGGAGTTTTGGGAGGATATGCGCAGGTGAATGAGCCTGACATAATGGGCAGTGAAGCTTTTCTTAAGCAGCTTCTTTCTGAGCGTTTTCCTGGTGCTACAAATGGCCAACGCCACCTTGTTGTTCTTGGTTCACAGTCTCTCTCTCTCTCTCTCTCTCTCTCTCTGCGCTTTAAATTATTAAATTTGTTGAATACTGGTTAAAGGAACCCTATTTATCTGGGAAAATAGCTGAATTCATATTAAATGAGTTCACTTTGTCAATAAAAAAATGAAAATTTGAGAAGGGTAGCAATCCAAATTTTGGCTCCTAGTGTTGAATTACTTGGGTGTGTTGTTTTAAAATCAGAGGCACGTTCTGGGTCTTCTGACTGACCAGTATTTAAATTTCTACAGATTGTGGTTCTGGCATTGGGAGAGTCTCCAAAAATCTTCTCATAAGATACTTCAATGAGGTGAGTTCAGTTTCAGGGCAACCCCTCTTTCTTCTACCGCCATCTTTCCGCATTTAGTTTCTGTGAAATTCATTCGATGTTGCATTATAAGAAAATTTTGATGTCTTTGAGACTTTTATGGGCTGGTTTGGTATTGATGTGCTTTGAAAAAAAACTGCTTCTGCTGTTCTGTGAGAATAAGCTTATTTTTGTTGCTTCACGTTTTCAGCTTTTTTTTCATCCAAAACTATGAAAATAAGCTATTTTTAAATGTTTACCAAACACCTTTTTGAGCTTAGCTTTTTTTGATACCCACTATTTATAAAAACACATAAGTACCAAACCAGTACTAAGTGAACTTGTATTTCATGATGTATGTTGTCACTGTTAGTCGCAAATTGTAGAACCAAATTTAGATAAGTTCCAAATAGTTTAATGTGATATGATTTCGGGCGAAGATATCTCCGGAGAGGGCTCTTCGGCTCTCAGCATAGCTCCTCAAGGGATTGGCACTTTGCATGTGTAGTCGGGCTCTTGCCTGCTGATGTGCTGCAAGAAGAGGACAAAGTTAGTTTTGAAAGGTGCCTTTGTGGGGCCTTAGGTGTAGGCCTTGAGGCTCGCAATCAAAACTAACTAAGTGCTAGGCGTGCTATTGCTATCTCAGTATAGCAGATGCAGAACAAGATTGTGTTTAGTCAATTACTTGCGCCCCAAGTTACTCGGACCTCTTGTTATCAAAGGATTGTCGTGGATGAGTTAAGTCCACATTAAGTTATTTTTCTTGCCTTGTGACCAAGGACTTTCAGTTCATAGTCTTGTATATTCGAATGAGGGGAGTCCAAATTCCTTAAGTCATTTGTTTGGTTTTAAATGAAAGTATATCTATTAAATTGACCAGGTCTAGATACAAATAAGACTTTTAAAGTAGGAAAATAGGCGGATATGACTTGAATACATACTGGAGAATGCATTAAGTAATAGATCTACAAATTTAGAAAGCAAACAAAGAGTTTCGGCCAAGATTTCACCTTGTCTGGCAAGGTTAAACCTTTTGCAGTCACTTCTCTTTGAGTTTATAGTGGTTTCTATGCTAGAAAGGGATGGATAGTAAACCAATTTATACAAGGGAATCGATACTATGCCACTAGAGGTGATAGCAGAGCTTTTAATCAAAACAAAAGATAGCTTTTGTGAGGGAGATATCTTGAAAAGGACTGAGATCTGGGCTGATTACAGCTTTTAGATGCAAATTTAGCTTGAGAGCAGAGTTTGTATGTTTGTTTGTTTTATTGGTTGAGTGTCCTTGTCTCTAGGGCATTTTCCTCCTTTTATAGGCAAATTAGCTCGACTGCAGTGACTTTGTTCTTGCTCGAAAGCAAGGGTAGTGAGTCATCAACTTTTTACTTGTATTGCCACCGAAAAGTGCTTTTTGGCTGAATGTGAGTTAGTCCCCATCACTTGACATTTAAATCATAGGCACATGGCTTATGCATTAATGGGAAGGCGCCAATTTGTCTCTAGGCTTGATGCTTAGGCTTTGGGCAAGTCTCCCTTTAGTTGGTATGTCTGGGCTTCCACACACTTGCAGCCCAATGTTCAAATATTAACCCAAACAATATGCATCGAACGGTACTTGCTTGCACATGTTGAACATGGATGCTAAGACTATATCATGAGACCTAAAAAATATGTGTTGGTACTTATCTTTCTAGCTTTCGGTTTTGTTTATTAGATGAGAACTAATTTTGTTTTTATTTCACGTCTGAGCTCGAATCAGGATATCTGTAGCTTTGTCATGTTTTAAGGTTTTGGGTTTTCCATCAGGCTGAATATATTTTCTTTGTGTTTTTGTTACATGGAACAAATCAGTGTCACTAAAACTTGATAGAGCTTATTATCCATTGTAACTGTCACACGTTTTCTCTTTGATCTTCATTCTGTTTTCTTGAAAACCCAGGTTGATCTACTTGAGCCTGTATCACATTTCTTGGAAACTGCTCGTGAAAGTTTGGCTCCTGAAAATCATAAGGTCTCTGATATGCACAAAGCTACTAATTTTTTCTGCATGCCTCTTCAGGTAATATACTCAAATAGTCAAATACAATACATTACCAGAAACATTGGATGGTCTTGACACTTACAAACCCTTTATTTTTTCTGTGTTCCTCTTTGGATAGTAAACTATTTCTCCCCTATTAGTTATACAACGTTCGCTTGGTTAGTTTTTATTTATTTTTTAAACACCTGCCATGCAATTTTGTCAGTCCAATGCATTCACTGTGTGTCTTCCTTTCTTAACTTTTCTAGACATCCATCTCTTACCCTCGCTGAGTCTTTTGGAAACGCCACATGAACATTTTCTTGCTTCCATTTTTAGGAATTCACACCAGACGCAGGGAGGTACAACATTATATGGGTTCAATGGTGTATTGGGCATCTGACAGATGACGACTTCGTCTCATTCTTAAACGGGCAAAGGTAAAACTGTTTTCTTGAGTATTAATGTAAAACTATGTTTCAGATATCAAGGTATCTACTGGGATTGCATCACTATCATTTCATGATCAAACGTAGACTGTTCAATATGGACGTGAACTTGAAGATTTTGCCTGCAATCTTCTGACCATTTATGTTCACAAATCTTTAAATTCTGTGAAGTATTAAAGTCTTCGTTAACTTTAAAGTTTCTGCACTTTTGGTTCCGTCTTACTGACATTATGCCCGGACATAGTATTAAATTCATAATACCATTTTCGGCCCCTTCCTCCCTCGGTGACCAAATACAAGAAAATTTGACAAAAAAAAAATGAAAAGTAAAATTCAGTGTACCATTACACATGACCTTGGGATTATTCGGTCAAAGAACTGGGTAGCAAAAGATATATACCATTGTTTATGTCCTCGTTAAGATCTTAATCACTTACTTTTGTGCTATTAAGGGATGATGTTTACTTTTATATATTTATTGTCAATCTTTGACAGAGGCACTTTGATGGCAGGAATACTCCTATTATATCTTCCACTTTTGTATGTCCAGTCAAATTTATTCACATGTTGCTTAGTAGTTTTCTCGATTGGTGTTGTTAGTTTTGTGTGTGGAAATGTACTAACTTTTTTATATGGGTTACCTATTTCTAGGTAGGATTAAAACCTGGTGGTCTTTTTGTCCTAAAGGAAAATATTGTAAGATCCGGTAAGTTGCTTTCTGTTTCACTTCATTCTGTGGTCATGATAAAGTTATCTGCATTCTTTTTGGTAGACTAAATTTGACTGAGAATAACTTGTTGTGAACTAATCGTCTTGATATGTAGGATTTGTGTTAGACACAGAAGACCGGAGTGTCACCAGGTCGGATTTGTACTTTAGGGAGCTCTTTCGTCAGTGTGGACTTCATCTTTACATATCAAAGGTTAAATGTGAAATTCGTACTCTGTGCTATTAGCTCTAGAATCTGATGTGGACCTTATCTCATCCTATCTGTTACTTTTATTTTCGATGTTTATTGCTGATAACTGATATAGTCCATAAGCGAGGGAGAAATATTTAAGATGTGCAGAGACACTGCATCTTAATAGGATGACTTCATATGATGCCTGTCAGATCTTTGCCGGTCCTCGCTGTTTCATGTTAATGTCAATTTTCTTAATAAAGTGATTTGATATCTAACTCAAAATTATTTTTCTGTCACGTAACTTTAAAGATAAGTGAATTAGTTGAGCATGGTTTGTTCGGTTTGATGCCACAGTTGAATTTGATTGTGCATACTACCTAAATCATTTTGATACTGGTTCATTTTGATCAAGGGGGTGGGGGGCCAACATTGATAAGACAAGTACCGCTAGATCAATATCTAGTTGGTTTTGGTACACTGGCTCATTAAATATCTGTCTTGAGGTGAATTCATATGAAATTCTGCCGTTAGCATCCAAATCTTCTTCGTTTATAATTCCAGTTTCTTCCTTACATCAGGATCAAAAGGGGTTGCCTGAGGAATTATTTGCTGTGAAAATGTATGCATTAACTACTGAGTTGCCAAAGAAGGTCCATCGGACAAGATCTGAAGTGCAAGCCAATAGACCCGGAGTCATCAAGTGAGCAATCCCAGCTTGAACTTACATACACACACACACACACACTACTTTTTGACATTGCATTTTGGTCCTGACTTCCTGTAATGGGCTACCCCTAAGTAATGTGCAAGAACCAGTTTGTATTCACCTGCAAGTTCTGTTCTTTGATGGTCTTGATGATGCGTATTCTTTGGTTACATTTTCTACTCTGATGTTGTCTGCTGTCCGTTACAACGCAAAATACAATATTTTGAGTAGACATAGAAGCTGTTGAAAGAGGAACGGGTTATGAAACCAAATAGGGAGATCAATCTCTTTATACCGTACCGAAACTTTACAATTCACATGGAAAATTAAAGTATTTCGGATGGAACACACAAGAACATAAAATAGTTTTGCGTAGAATTGAATTTCCGAAGTTGGATGAATTTAAAGGTTCATCTCGATTGCATGCGCTTGTGGCCTCTACCTCTTTCGGCATGTATTCTTTCGTGAGAATGAGAAGCTAAAACCCTGCAAGACTGGTAGGCTCTACTCATGATATCAAACACTTGACCCAAGCTTAGTTGTTGGTTGCTGGATACATCTGTGCACATTAGCCCTAGCCCTATTGCCTGTTCAGCTTGATCAAAAGTATTTTGTGTCAGTTCCAATTTCTGGTCTATCACCTTCTGCAAATTCCCAGGATAATGCATTCTGATATACTCGAGAAACCCAGCCTCGCCTGTCTCGAAGTCTTCCTGCGGCCGCCTGTTTATGAGCATCTCTAGTAGAAGCACTCCTAACTTGTACATCTCTGAACCAAATTTCAAATTTTTGTATTAGAAGTTAACCAAATTAAGAGGTAAAAAAAAAAAAAGACAGATCGAAATGATGCAGCTTCATTGATCGACTTACTTCTACTTCTGCAGCTTTGATCCCCAATCTTAAACCTTGAAATTCGCGGCTCCAGATTGTTTGACAGCAAGATACTGCTTGTCCTGAGATCGTATCCGACCTCAGGCCACTCCTCCTGCAGATAACACATGCCTTCCACAACCCCCGTCAATATTTTCAACCTGTGATTCCATGGTGTATTGTTCGACTCCAATAGCCACATCTCAAGGTTCTCTCCTTCCATCCATTCGGTTACGATGGCTCTCAACCTTCTGTTGTTGCACCAACCCAATACACTAACCAAGTTCTTGTGGCGTAACCGAACGAGAACCTTGCACTCTTCGATCAAGTTTGGGTGGTTTTCACCTCGGTAGATCTCAATCCTGACTTCAGTGTCATCTCTCAGAGTTCCTCTATAGATATCAACTGCTTCACTCTTCCCCTTCAGATTTCTTCTCGAAAATCCATTTGTTGCTGCCTTGAGCATTGCTGGTGTAAACCGATACTTTCTGCGAAGCATTCTTGGGAGAAAATCAGGCCTCTGGAAACAAAGCCACCCCAAGCAACACACCATCAAGATCACAAAGATCGGAAAACCAACCAACAAGATTACAGCCTTGATCCTGAACTTTTTCTTATGGGGGAGGAGACCCGAATGGAGAAAACTCGAAGAATTGAACCGTTTAAAGAAGAGGGCATCAGAGATTTTACTCTCGGAGAAGTGATTATATGATAAATTAAGAGAAGTGAGGTTGGCAAGGGGAGAGAAGCTCTCTATTGGGACATCGCCGTAAAGGTCATTATGGCTCAAATCAAGAGCTTGGAGTTGTGTGCATTGAAGAACATCAATGGGAAAATTGCTCTCCAAGGAATTGTTGGACACATCAATAGTTAAGATGCTCAAAGGGCAATACTTCCAAAAGAAGTTGAATGACAAGTAGAGAGGCGCGATCTTTGGGCGGTTTTGAAGGTCTATTTTAGGGAATGATTCGACGCAGTTTGGATTCTTGGACTCGTTGCAGAGACGGCTTGCAACAATGGTGGACTTGAAAATCTCATGAAGGTCCACAGGTGAGGAACTGCAGTATCTGATAGATGGGTTGTGATGGCAGTTTTTCATTATCGTGGAGTTGAAATCATGAGGCGGTTTTAAATTTTTAAGGTCTTCTATGACAGACGCGGCGAGAGTTGTGTATATGGAGGCTGAAATCGGGAGGAGGAGGAGGAGGAGGAGGGAAGTTGCAGAAATGGAAGCCATGGAGAAGTTTGCGTGTGTGAATCTCTTGAGAGGATTTAATTTTAAACTGAGTTCAAACGGTTGGCAAGAAAGAAAGTGGGGGAGTCCATTTTATCACGTTGAAAGCTAATCTTGGTGGTTACATGCACTCGGACTATAAAGAGCAGTTTTATTGTTGGCAAAAAGTACTTATATACTCTGTAATCTATTCCATATTTCCAGTCCGGAGAAAAATATCCATTCAATTATTTCCAATGCCGGTCTTGAGATTTTGAAGGCTTGCGGTGACATTAAAAAAAAACCCTAGAAAATCCAACATGAAAATCGCTTGTTTTATTCGCATGTGTACATACACCCTTGAATTTGATACTAACATTAAAAATACAAATTTTATAGGCTTCTGCCTTCGATTTCCATTTGTCGAACTAGAATGAGAAATTACCGCTTCTGAAGTTGATTTGGAATCTGCTGCGCTGCATAAGTCTAGGGCTGGAGTTGGCTACCAAGGGTTTGAAATCAATGGTAAGAAATGACCTCTTTTCGATCAATTTTCAGCTCTCTTCGACCACTCACTTGTACGAATGTTGTTATGTGGATCCAAAGCGAGCAGTTTAACAACCGGGGAGTGCCGGGCCAATTGATTGCCCAAAAGTATATTTGGGTCCATGAGAACCCTGTGTTTCAAGATTAAACACTCTACATCTAATTTCAAACCCCAAACAGACGGAACAAGTGAATAATATTCGTCGTAGTTGCACAGTTGCAGACATCCTTGGAACACACACACAAGCCTAATTCCCGGCTCCTCACCATCAGATACAATAAGACATTGTATATCAATAATGCCATCATCAGTAGATTTAGCACTCTTCTTCTTGTTCTTGTTCTTCAAGTTGAACGCATCAAACCCAATCAGAAATGTACTGCATTTTGTAATTAATAACAGCACCCATCCAAAACAGCATCCCATTGTATGCCAATCGAACAATATTCCCAGGGAGCAGGTGGAAAAGGAGTGTATACGGAGCTGTTATAGATGAACCCGCCATTCACCAGTATCGGAAGAGAAGATATCCACATTGTACATGGAGGCATGCCAAGGATGTGAATAGTTAGAAATTTTCGCAACCCTATAGCTATTCTCGGCATTAGCATCTTCCCCCTGCAGGAATCACATATAATCCCCCTGCTAGTACGCTATGATCACATGAAGGGGCATCAGGAAGAGTAACCCGTTGCTTCGTACGTGTAGGGATTGCAAATGTAGTATTCGCGTTGATAATCACTGCCTGAGCAACACAAAACTAAATCATTTTGCGTATCTATCACAACTGGCTTTACATGTACCACTCCCTGCAGGGGCGATTCATATTAAGGGCCATCGGGGGCTCGTGCCACCCCCCCTTTCCTCTTCCCCCTCAAGGGTTTATAATTTGCTCTCCTATTTGTTTTAGGATTAGTTATACGTCTTGGCAATTTTGAGCAGTAACTATTATGCGCTTAGGTTTGCAGCAATGATTCCATTCTGCAATTTAGGGTTTAGGTTTGAAGATCCCATGACGTTATTCTATCACCTTTCTATAAAGCATCAATTAAATTTTTTTTAACCTTATCGTACGTAGTAGTTTTATATAAAAAAAATAAAATTAATTGTAACAAAAAGAATTTATTAAAAGGTGGATGAAGGTGAGTTACACAATAATCACCAGAAAATCTTACATGACGCCAATATATTTCTTGAAAACTAGAAATTTACAAGAAATTGGTTAGATTAGCACTCTAAAACATGTCAACTAACTAGGAATTAATTAATACAGTAAAAGGAACAACAACAAATTAAGAAACAAATCAAGGGCTAGCTGCCACTCTTGTGATTGTCAGCCATTGGTTTGCAGCAACTGAGCAACTTTGTCTTTGAGCAAGGGTTTGGATTGGATGTCATCATCTTTTGCCAGCACTTCAACAAACTCCTTCAAAACCAAGCACTTCTCTTCAGAGTAGAGCTTCTCTTGAACAATTGGGGATGCAACAACCTGGAGACGCTCTTGATTTATATGCAACCGCTCTTCCTTCCTTTCCTGCTTAAACGTACAATTTCAAATTAAAATGACTACATTATTTCATCAAATAAATAAAAGAAAAAAATAATTATATTCTACCCAAATTAAATTCGTCTAAACTACAACGGTATTGAAGGGGATTCGAAGTTGGTTGCAAATTAGACCATTTTAATTATATACAGATGAAATGGTTAGCTCTATTACAATTACTACCTGCTGAATTGGAGAGTCTGTCATGAGTTTGAGAACAGAAACTTGTGCCCGCAAGAACTTGACATACTTATAAGCAGCTTGCAACATTTCAGCAGTGTTCATCTTGGTGGCACCAGGAATCAGCCTCCCAAGCTCCTGAGTCTTCTCAGTTATCTTCCTCCTCCTCTCGCGTGCAGCTATGCTCTGTGGTGACACGGTACCAGTACCACTGACGGCCTTATTATCAAGCTTGGCGGCCTTAGGCTGATTCTGAATTTGGACTTCATGGGTTTGAATTGGAACCAAAATTTCAGACTGGAGGAACGGATCATATGCAGTGAAATAATTGGAAGTGGCAGCAACCACGAAGTTTGAATTGCAATATTGGACTTGTTGATCATGGAAGAGCTTCTGGCATTTCGGGTAGGGCTGGTAGGAGAAGTCATATTCATCTAGGGGTGGACAGATTTCCGGCGCCAGCAAGGCCAAATTGATGTTATCTGTTGGAGAACAAAAATCAGGGAGGAGAAAGTTTTCGGAGGAGGATTCATAGGGTTGGAAGAGTGGATCGATGCAGGTGTATTCTGGATTAGTACTGTTAGCTAAGCTATAGTAGTCGTCCTGCAGATCGAAGATGCCCGAAGAAGCTGCCTGCAGCTTTTGTTGTGTTGGTAAGCTAAGCATATTCATTTCTGGTGGGTTGAGAAGCTGAAGAGACCCCCAATCATCAATAGGGCAAAAAGTAGCAGTACTCATAGCCATGGAAATTACAAAACCTGCATGAACAGTTAATTATGGTTACTAACTGATTAATTGCTAAAGACAGCAATGCTATAGAAAG